GTGGCTGCGATGATGGGCTCAAGTATAGCAGGGATTGTGGCGCTGGCGCGGGATCGGGCAGTGTTTCGTTCTGCTGTGCATGGGGTCGCTATGAGTCGGAACAACAACAACAACTCTGGAACTTTCTATAAATTACGTTTTCTAAGCTTTAGCTCCTCTTTATCTTGTAGGAACTGATGTAGATTCATTCAGATTTGCAAGAACTATAATTTTTATTTAAAAAATGCTACGTGGGCCCAAGTTACTTTTCTAAAGAGAGTTTTCTGTATTAATTACATCACACCAGTTTTTATTTCATTCTTTTACGAGGTGCTGTTCAAGGTATGACAACAAATTAATGTGACAAAGCACATTCTTGAAGTTCTTCATTCAAGTCAGTGTCCTTTGCTCCAAAAATCACTATGGGAAATGCTAAGCTTATTCCAGTGATTATACTACCACTCCGAGATTCTGGGACAAATCTGTGTTGGAAGTGCAGCTGGAATGGTCCTTGGAGGCAAGATTGGTCATCTCACCTGCTTTGGTCATATCATCAGAAGAGACTATTCCCTGGAGAAGATATCATGCTTGGTAAAGTGGAGGGTCAGCGAAAAGGGGGATGACCCTCCACAAGATGAAGTGGCACAGAGGCTGGAACGGTGGGCTCAAGTATAGCCATGATTGTGAGGATGGCGCACAATAGAAGTGTTGTTTGGTTGTTGTACATGGGGTCACTAAGAGTCATAGTTAATTCAACAGCACCTTACAATAACAACAGAGATCCCAGGGACTCCCTTTCTGGAATAGCTACAGAACCATTGTTTCATGTTATCTTTGATAGTAAGAGTAAATCATATAGTCCAGTCCAATTTAAAAAGATATATGGTAAACTGAGTAGTACCATTTCTAATTAAAACATACAAGCATATGCTTACACACAACATGGGTGTGCACAGATGCTTGTATTGACACAGCAGGCAGTTCCCCAAGAGGCATCTCAAAATATTTTAAGTCTCAGACGATTTATTTTATGGGAGTAGGGCATATTTTATTTTGCTAGATTGGTGTATCACTGTGTTTTTGCTTGCTTTTACCAAATTTTTATAATCTTTGTAATCTCTGAGCCTAAGCCAAAATAAGTTTTCTAATAAGCACCATGAAAAGATATGATATATATGAACTTGAATGTAAAATGTATTTATTTTTATTGCATACAAAACAAATGGTATAATGTCTGCTTATCCTCAAACCATCCTATGATACAGAAATGAATAACCAATTTCAAGGTGAACTTTGAAAAGCAGAACTCATTTGAATTTAAAGGCATGTTGTTTCGATTTATTGTTTGTTTCAGCTTGTACATTTCCAAGAAGGGGAATAAAACAAATGCTACCTTTGCTAGTATACCCACTGCCATCTAGTTGAGTTCCACTCATAGTGACCCCCCATAGCATTTCCAATGCTATATATCTTTATGGAAGCACACTGCCTCATCTTTCTCACGCAGAACAGTTGGTAGGTTTAGAAACATGGACCTTTTGGTTAGCAGCCTAATACCTTCACCACCACGCAACCAGAGTTCCTTTTATTTCTACTATAATGTCATATTATTATGCAAAAGATATTTTAATTCTGTATTGTTTATTTTAATGCATTTTATTGAAATATAATTTATGTACAGTGAAATACACATAATTAAAGTGACATGGGTCAATGCATTTCTTTTTTTTTTTTTTTTTGCAGTGTTTCCTCCCCTCCCCTCCCACCCCTGTCATCCAACAAAGAAAGTTTCCCTCCATATATAAACCTTTCCTTGACCCTCCACAACAACGAACTAATACTATATTTGTCCTTCTGTGATTGACTTATGTCATTCAGCACAATATCCTCCAAGTTCATCCATATTATGCGGTGTTTTGCAGACTCTACATTATTTTTAGTGCTGTATAGCATTCCATTATGTGTATGTACCACAGTTTGGTCATCCATTCTTCCACTTATGGACACGTAGGTTGTTTCCATCTTTTTGCTATTGTAAATTGTGCTGCAATGAACATGAGTGTGTATATGTGTTCCTGTCCTGGCTCTCACCTCTCTAGTATATATACTTAGTAATGGGATTGCTGTGTTAAATGGTATCTCCAATTCCAGCTTTCTAAGGAATCACCATATTGCTTTCTATTTTCTATATTGTTTATTTTAAAGAGATTTAAAAATTGTTTTGATAGTTTTTTTGTTTGTTTTTTATGTTGCAGCAACTTTTTATGGACATGGCAAGTGGAGAAATTTCCAGTGAGTTAGCTGATGAGATAGCAGCTATGGACACCCTAGTAGTAGAGCTCCAAGACCTAAGCAACCAGTTTCGAAACCAGTATTGACCGTGTTAGAAGCAGTTCCTGGAGAAGCTGCATTTACCTTCCGGAATTTCTCATACCTGTATATCTGAAACATGAGATTTCATTGTTTTAAATAAAGTTCTGTTTTATGGCTAACATTCTTGCTTTTGAGATGTTCTAAGCTTTCTGAAGTAAATAAGAGCTTCCCTGTTCCTTTCAGTCTAGTTATGGTTGAGTTCAGTATTTTTATTATTCTTGTATTATTTCTGCACAGAGAGCAAATAAATTATAGTTTGTTTTTTAGCTTGGGACTTATTCTCTCTCAGCCTAACATGAATTGGCTCATCCTTTGGAAAAATTTAGTCTAAACAGGAAAGAAAGTCACATATGACAACTTTGTGGAATCATTAGATCTATTGCTTTGTTGTCCAAAAGTGATAAAAGAGTAGATTTGATGATGGAAACCTTGATACTTCTTAAGATTTTGTGCTATGTCAGAAGGATGCGGGCTTGGCTAAACTGAAAATGTGGGTGTGGTTTAACTTCTAAATCTGGGAAATGCAAGAAAGAAATGACATACTCCCAATTTTCGCTCAACCATTAGCCACTAGTAACCATGCTGATCCTCCTTATTGTGTCTACTACCAGTCCTAAAGATGGTTGTTTATTAAGGTTATTTTGGGTGAAGACAGTTATAAATGATGCCATATTACAAAAATGCCAAACTGAAATGCTTTCTTAGTAATGTCTGTGGAAACAAACATTGAAGGCAGCAGCTGAGCCTCATAATTTGAGTACAAAAGTCATAGTGAGGAATTCTAAGTCCTGGCTTGGGTTGCTAAATATTGGGTCCCATGCATATTTCACTTGACCTTTGTTTTATTTCAATATTCTTACTTATAAAATGTGAATCATTTATTTCCCTAGCTTTTTTGTATATTTCAGCTGCCTTTGAAACTTTAAGAATACATAATCCACAAATACATAGTATTTTGAACATTAAAATTAAATCTTTAAGAAAAACTTTCATCAGTGAATTTACCCTTACTAGTACTAAAGGCTTTCTTTGCTTAAACACCTGCTTCTCTTTTTTATTATCATGCAAACCTAAAAGAATGTAGCCATATACCCCAGAGCAGTTTCTCTCATAGCAGAGAAACTGTGAGAAAGACCAGTAAAATGAAGTAGTAGTGTGAGTTAACATTAAGTGTCCACTTGAATCTTTTATGGAAGCCATTGAAGATAGGTGGGTGGATGGATGGGTAGATGGATGGATGGATGGATGGATGGTTGTAGGTGAAGCGAAGTTTTGAGATTAACTCTTTAAAAGTACCAAGCTGTGAACACCAGTGGAAAAATGGATAGAAGAAAATATTGAAAGAGGAGAAGATTTCAAGGATCAAATGGAAGTCTGGAGAAGGGTTTCTGCCTTGTTATAAGTTTTTACTTCTCAATTTGCTTTCCTTTGGCTTCAAGGTGGAAAGGCATAGGTGATTGTAGGCAGTTATAAACAAGTCAAAAAAAAATCCACTTCCTGTCTTGTTCTTGAATACTGTGCTGGACAAAAGTCTACAGGATGCTGCCTGCCCCATCCCCCCAAAATATGTGTTGGGATCCTAATCCCTGTTACTATTATATACCTGTCAATATAATCCCATTTGGAAATAGAATTTCATTTGTTATGTTAATGAGGCCATATTGGTGTGTAGCATATCCTAAACCTAATCACTTCTGGGTTACAAGGAGCACCATAGACACAGACTAGAACACAAATCGGGGAAGAGAAATGCTATACCATGTGAAGATCACCAAGGAACTGAGGAATGCTGGAAGAGGAGGATCTTCCTTCAGAGCTCACAAGGAGAAAGCTTCCACTAGAGCCAATGTCCTGAATTCAGACTTTTAGCCTCTTAAACTGTGAGAAAATAAATTTTTGTTCTTTAAACCACCCATTTGTGATAGCTCTTTTACAGCAGCACTAAGAAACTAACACTTTACCCAACACACACTTTTATTTTGGAATGATCTCATAAAAGAGAGCTATTAAATGGTGTCCTCCTTAGAAAGAGACCTGTTATATTTAATAATTATGTATGTGAATATTTAACATAACTGAATATATGTGTGAGTACTGTAGTAGAGTACGAACAGTAACAGTATCTGTGAAAACAGCCATATTACATTAACTAATGGATCTTTCCATCACTCATCTGCAGTTTGCCATACTCTGGTGGCTTGCATGTTACTGTGAGGCTGAAAACTATGCCTATATATCTATATCTATCTATCTATCTATCTATCTATATACACACATACATACTATATACCAGTGGGGTCACCTACGGTGGACAGTTTTCAGCAGAACTTCCAGGCTAAGAATAGGAAGAAGAACGTGACCAGGTCTACTTCTGAAAAAAACTGGCCACTCAAAACCTTATGAATAGCAGAGAAAAACTGTCTGATACAGTGCCAGAAGATAAGCCCCTCAGGTTGGAAGGCACTCATTGTGGCTGGGGAAGAGCTGCCTTCTTAAAGTAGAGGCAACCTTAAGGATGTGGATGGAGTAAAGCATAATTTCCTGATGTGGCTTAACTCAAAATGGGAAGAAAAAGCTATAAATATGCATTAATAATTGGAACATGGAAAGTAGGCAGTATGAATCTAGGAAAACTAGAAGTTGTAAAAATTGAAATGGAACACATGAAGATCAATATCCTAGGTGTTAGTGAGCTAAAATACACTAGTACTGGCCACTTTGAATCAGAAAATCATATGGTCTACTATGCTGCAAAAAATAAATTGAGGAATGGTGTCACATTCATCATCAAAAAGAACATTTCAAGATTTAAGTTCAGTGCTGTCAGTGTTAGGATAATATCCATCCGCCTACAAGGAAGACCAGTTACTACTACTACTATTCAAATTAATGCGCCAACTACTAAAGGTAAGATGAGGAAATTGAAGCTTTTTACAAACTTATGCAGTCTAAAATTGACCAAACATGTAATCAAGATGTATTGATAATTACTGGCAATGCAGAAGTTGGAAACAAAGAAGGATCCAAAAACCAAACTCACTGCCATTGAGTTGATTCCAACTCATAGTGACCACAGTGGGTTTACAAGGATGTAAATCTTTACTGAAGCAAACCGCCTCATCTTTCTTCCATGGACCAGCTGGTGGGTTCAAACCATTGACCTTTGGTCAGCAGCCAGATGCCTTCATCACAACACCACCAAATCAAAAAACCCGAACTCACTACTCTTGAGTCAATTCTGACTCATAGCGACCCCTTCTTGGGTTTCTGAGGCAGTAGCTCTATGGAAGTAGATTGCCCAGTCTTCCTTCTGAGGAGTGCCTGGTAGGTTTGAACTGCCAGCCTTCTAGTTAGCAGTCAAATGCCTTAGGCACTATGCCACCAGAGCTCCCACTATCCCACCAGAACTTCTTAAAGAAGGATCAATAGTTGGGAAATAAGGCCGTGGTGATAGAAATGACACCAGGGATTGCATGATACAATTTTATAAGACCAATGGCTTATTCATTTCAAATACCTTTTTTCAACAACATAAATGGCGACTGCATATGTGGATGCAATACACAGATGGAATACACAAGAATCAAATATGCTACATCTGTGGAAAGGGATAATGGAGAAGCTTCTATCAGTTAGAACAAGACTAGGGGTCAGCTGTGGAACAGGCAATCAATTGCTCATGTACAAGTTTTAAGTTGTAACTGAAGAAAATTAAAACAAGTCCATGGACCAAAATATGACCTTGAGTATATCCTACCTGGATTTAGATGCCATCTGAAGCATAGATTTGATGCATTGAACACCAGTGACCAAAGACCAGACAAGTTGTAGAGTGACATTAAAGACATTATACACAAAGAAAGCAAAAGGTCATTTAGAAGACAGTAAAGGAAGAGAAGACCAAAAAGGATGTCAGAAGAGACTGTCAAACTTGCCCTTGAATGGAGAGTAGCTAAAGTGAATGGAAGAAATGATGAAATAAAACAGCTGAAAAGATTTCAGAGGGCAGCTCAAGAAGACAAAGTATTATAATAAAATGTGCAAACACCTGAAGTTAGAAAATCAAAAGGGAAAAACATGTTTGGCATTTTGCAAGCTGAAAGAACTAAAGAAAAAATTCAAGCCTTCAATTGACATATTGAAGGATTCTGTGGGCAAAATATTGAACGATGCAGGAAGCATCAAAAGAAGATAGAAGAAATACACAGAGTCACTGCACCAAACAGAATTGATCCATGTTCAACCATTTTAATAGGTAGCATATGATCAAGAACTAATGATATTGAAGGAAGAAGTCCAAGCTGCACTGAAGGAATTGGCTTTAAGGCTCCAGGAATTGACTGAATGACCGTTAAGATGTTTCAACAAACAGGTACAGCACTGAAGGTGCTCATTCATTAATACCAAAAAATTTGGAAGACAGTCCCTGGCCAACCAACTGGAAGTGATCCATATTTGTGCCCATTGCAAAGAAAGGTGATCCAACAGAATGCAGAAATTATTAAACAATATAATATCAATCACAAGTAAAATTTTGCTGAAGATAATTTAAAAATGGTTGCAGCAGTATATCAATAGGGTACTGGCAGAAATTCAAGCCAGATTCAGAAGAGGGCATAGAATGAGGGATATCATTGCTGATGTCAGATGGATTGTGGATGAAAACAAAAAATACCAGAAAGATGTTTGCCTGTGTTTTATTGATTATTCAGAGACATTTGACTGTGAGGATCATAACAAATTATGGATAACGTGAAGAACAGGAATTCCAGAACACTTAATTGTGCTCAGGAGGAACCTGTACATAGACAAAGAGGCTGTCATTTGAACAGAAGAAGGGGATGCTGAATGGTTTAAAATCAGGATGGGTGTGCATCAGGGTTGTATCCTTTCACCAAACTTACTCAGTCTGTCTGCTAGGCAAATAATCTGAGAACCTGGACTACATGAAGAAGAATGTGGAATCTGGATTGGAGAAAGAGTCATTAACAACCTGCTTAAGAAATATGCAGATGACCCAACCTTGCATGCTGAAAATGAACGTTTGAAGCACTTACTGGTGAAGCTCAAAGACTACAGCTTTCAGAATGTATTGCACCTCAACATAAACTAAAATC